TAATGGAAGCGTGTAATTACCGTGTTAGTATTAGGGAGCAATATAGGCGCAATAAATGAAGGCTGCTTTGCAATTAGAACGATGAACACAGCTGTGGAGACAAATGGCATATGTGCTAATTAAATAATTTGTCACTTGACTGTTTAAGCAAACAATACGGGCTCTTTCCATCCCCGGCTGCGGGATGGGCCAATAACGGCCCGGGGGGAACAGATTGCGCTGCCTGCCCGAAACCTCGGGAATCATCCCGGCTTTTCCTCCTGGAGAGAGCAGAGAGAGCCCCTCAATGGGCACAGCCGGGGCTGGGAGGGACCGGGGGGGTCACCCAGGCCAGGCCCGCCAGGGTCACCTGGGGCAGGGACACTGGAACGTGCCCAGGGGGGTTTGGGGTGGCTCCAGAGAGGGAGACTCCAGCCCCTCCCCGGGCAGCTGTTCCAGGGCTCTGCCCCTCCATGGAAGGAAGCTCTTCCTCAGCCTGGGCTGGAATTGTTGTGTTTTAGCTCCTGCCACTGCCACCACTGAGCAGAGTCTGGCACCATCCTCTGATGGCCCTGGGACAGATGAGCATGGATCAAGGGGATAGGGATCTATGGGATACCTGTATGGATCCATGGGATATCTGTATGGATCCATGGGATATCCATAGGGATCCATGGGATATCTGTATGGATCCATGGGATACCTGTATGGATCCATGGGATATCCATAGGGATCCATGGCATATCTGTATGGATCCATGGCACACCTGTATGGATCCATGGGATATCCATAGGGATCCATGGCATATCTGTATGGATCCATGGGATATCCGTATGGATCCATGGGAGACCTGTATGGATCCATGGCATATCCATAGGGATCCATGGCACATCCATAGGGATCCATGGAATATCTGTATGGATTCATGGGATACCTGTATGGATCCATGGCATATCCATAGGGATCCATGGCATATCCATAGGGATCCATGGCACACCTGTATGGATCCATGGCACAGGTTTTAGTTCCTGCCACTGCCACCACTGAGCAGAGTCCTCTCTTTTGGAGCCAATGCTGATGAAAAGGATTGAATTTCACCGGGTCTTTTCCTATTTCCAGCTGTATTTTCCTGTGGTTCATCCCTTCAGCCGTATCCCCAGGAAAGGATTTGATCCCAAAGCAGAGCCCAGCAGATGCTGGAATTCCAGAATTCCCTCAGCCTGGTTTCCCCACCCAAGGGACGCTCTGCACTTG